ATTTCCCTGACAGGGGAATTATGGATCTCTCTTACTTCCCTTACTACGGAAGGCTGGCACAGGTGAGCAAGAATTAAGATGTGTTTCTGTCGTTAAAAATGTAATCTGTAGACGTTTGGCTGGATCACCAAGCGGGCAATGGTCCCACACTAACTGTGTGCCAGACTTGCTTTCAATTATTTATTTTAATCTTCTAGTGATTTAACTATTTATCTTATCTCGAAAAGAAAAAAAAGGAGCTTTGTTATCTTGTGAAAACGAGATAATCAACTTGTTATCATGACAAAACAAAAGATTGTTTTATGTAGTTATCTCATGAAAATGCTCCAGTTGTCCGGATGCCTTTTATGCATGCTGGCGTGGAGCTCCTGATCTCTGCTAAAAAATTATAAGTAGCCTAATAAGAGGAACCAACCTCTTTTTTGTAATTATCTCATTATCTCAAGTCAGCAAAGCTCATTTTCTTGAGATAACTAAGTAATTAACTTGTGACATTGAGATAGTGGGGGGGGGGAATCAATCAGAATCACGGCTTCTCTGAACCTCTATGAACATGTGGTCAACAGAGCCCTATAGCTCAGTTGGACGTTTTGGAAACGTACTTATTCAATTTCTTGCCAAGAGGCAAATCAAAACAGTGGTACGTATCTAAAGTATGTATTACAATAAGTATGTATTCACAACCAGCAAGTGGTTAGCTTAGCTTAGCGCAAAGACTGGAAACAGGGGGAAACAGCTAGCCTGGCTTTGTTCAGAGATCGGGGTCAAAATGACAATTTGCAGTGACTTCCTATTGTCTCTACTGGCTGCTTTGCAACCTCATTGTGACATCAAGAACTGACACTCGACTCCCCATAAAACTACAAACTGACATTGTCACACTTTTGTACAGATTAAACAAATGTGCTGTAATATGATATGTTAATTTGTGAGATTTAAAAGCTCGGATAGAAAAATTTTGTTGCCTTTGCACAGAGCCAGGCTATCTGTTTCCACCTGTTTGCAGTCTTTATGCTAAACTAAGCTAAGCTAAGCTAAGCTAATCAGATTCTAGGAGCATTTGGTTGTATCAATCTTCTCATCTAACTCTTGGCAAGAAAGTGAATAAACATATTTCCCAAAATGTCAAACTGCTTTTAAGTTGTATCAACATGTCCTAGAAAAATAAAATTTAAAGAACAAAAGTCATACTTATCATCGACCAACTGTCTGCATCTCCTCCTTCCTCCTTTTCCTCAGCCCACTTACGTCAACCCGTTGGTGGCTGTTCGGTTCAACCTGGTCGGAGAGAAGACAGCCAAGATCCAGTGCAGAGTGGTCTCCGAGAAGATCAGCTACCAAAACCCCTACGACCCCTTTGAGGGGAAAGTCACCTTCCTCCTCAAAGCAGTGAAATGAGAAGCAGAGGAGAGGATGTCCTGTAATCATGTAACAACTAACCAGTCAGTATCAAAGATAGAGCAGGTGACTGCAGATCAATAGTGACTATTATCTAACGACCTTTAAACCATTTGTATTTAACAGTATCGGCCCACGTGTTAATGTCTGTGTGGAGCTTTTATAAACCTGATTTGTCAAACTTTGAGTGATTCATGAATCTTTTTGTCAAATAAGTTTCAGATTTTACCATGACATGAAAAATAAAATCTTTAAATCTATGTATAGTTATGTAATGTGTGTGTATTATGTGTGAACTTTCCTGCTGATCCAAGAGCATTTTTAAAGAGTTTATTTATTTTTACAGCACATAAAGGAACACTTCATCCTTTAATTTATGAAGTATGAAAAATGCTAATCTGAAAAGTAATTAAAGCTGTCAGACAAATGTAGTGGAGTAAAAATATTTCTTATATGCCTCCAAAATGTGATGGAGTGGAAGTATAAAGTAATACCCAAGTAAAGGACAAGTACCTTTTGGGTAGTATTTGAGTAAATGTAGTGTTAAGTTTACATCAACAAAAGCAGAACTATTAGTTATGGGGTTGTTGCATAAGCAGTGTACCTGTTACATCAGTATATTCAAGTACAGTTACTGTCTACAGTACTGCCGCTAATAGGATGATGATGAGGTTTCTTATAAATCTGCTGACCGCAGAGTCTGTGGGTTATCAGCTTACAAAGCGTACACACACACACGCACGCACGCACGCACACACACACACACACACACACACACACACACACACACACACACACACACACACACAGAGTCAGCTTCTCTTTCTAGGCTTCAGTGCAGACGGTATGAAAAAGAAAGATAAATTCAAATTCCTGCAAAAGCTTTACGGTACTTTCATCAGACAGTACATGTGTTCAGTAACAGGAGCATGTGTAGAGAAGTGGTAAACGTGATGGTCTTTAGATAATTACATGAAAACGTTAAACAATCAGAAAAAGAAAAGTCACTCTTGGTTGGACGATTCATGTCCAAACTGGAACCATATCTTTTACAAAGGTGTGTTAAATGGATGCATTTGGAGAGCATTTACATTTTATTGTCTTTGAAAAGGTGCAATTTTGTTTAAAATGCTGCAACATATACTGTTAAAATCAGAAACTACGTCCGCAACAGACAGCTGGAGGGAAATTACAGTGAGTGACGCAAACAAGAAATGCCTGGCAGGACTGAGTGGCTGATGTTAACAACCCCGTTACTCAAGATGATCCACAGACCTTGTTGTGAGCAGTTTCATGCAAGAACTATTTTCTTTCTATTGAACTACAGTTGCCAACCATATCACCACGCAGAAGGAAGTGTGCATCTACTGCTAGCTCACCTAGCACCACTGAGCTAGCTAATGTTACAGCCATTGTTGACATCTCATGCTGTTACGAGCCATAGATATATATACGTAGATACCGCATTCAACGGTGCTCCTCATTGGAGCGATACGTCAACGCGGTCGCCATCTTGCCCAGGTGGAGCCGCGCTGCCTAATGCATGTATGTCTATTGAGGCAGGAGATTATTTATGATTAAAATCATCATTACTTGCTGAATTCTCAACCGATTTTCATGCGGTTTGGTTTGTTACAATCGTCAGACATGTAGTTATGATACAGGATACTTCTACAACACATTTAAACTAAACTTTCCCCATGTAATAAATATTCTTTTTTCTTACTAGATGTACAATGCCCACCACGATGTCATTTAATTATTAATTTTGATTATAAATGTTTGTTCACATTTCACACAATGTGCAAAAAATAGTGTATCAGCAGGGTTGTGCCGAGCTACAGTGTAGATTCTGATTAACAAATGTTGGTTTTGTACAAGTGAAAATAAATGACTTAGAGCAGCATGTTTACACAAAATTTTTGCTTTAATCTCATATGTATAACACCACAGTGCTCATGGGAGCCTGGACACAGAACTGTTTACATTATTAGGTCATATTTACAAAAAACACAGTGTACAGTAGCTAGTATTATTTTTAGGAGTCTGCCCAGTCCTATCGAAGTCCTCAGGTCTGAAGTGACAGCTGCAGATGACTGAGGCGTCACTCGGGACAAAGTCCTTTCTCCTCACTGCTGCTACCCATGCCCGTCTCCCATCTGTGTTTAATGGGAAATTACACACAAAATAAGTGTGTCAGAAAAACGCAGTTCCATATAATTTGTAGTTACAATTCAGGCCACAAGTTAACTACTAACATTATACTGCGTTATGTCACGTTGGTGCCATGAAACAGATAGTTGACAATTTGGAATAACACACACACCGACATAGCTGTTTGACAAAGCATCATAATTTTATAAGTAATATTATATAAATGTTAACCTTTTTTCTTTAAGTTGTGTGACATAGCATTAGCTTAATTTAGCATTAGGACCAGATCAGGACAGTTACTTTACTTGATTAGCTTAAAAGAAGGATCACTTTTTGAGATATATATATATATATCATTAAACATGTTCGTAACAGTAAAATATTGTAAAACAACTTCTTACCTGTGGAATGTTATTCCCTTCTGCTTGGTTTTAACACTTCTCTCGTTAGTACACCCAAATGCAAAGCAAAAATGTGGCATTTTTGCCGAGTCTGACATGTGCGGCATCTATGTATATATATCTATGGTTACGAGCACCAGCCCGATTCAAGAGTAGATGCACACTTCCTTCTGTGTGGTGATACAGTTGACGACTGAACCTGCTCACAACAAGGTCTGTGGATTTTCTTGAGTAACCAGGTCGTGATTTCTGGAAAGAGACATTGCTGTTGCTCGAGTTTTATTAATGTTTTTTTTTTTTTTTTTAATAATTTTTTTGGGGCGTTTTTGCCTTTAATTGACAGGACAGCTAAGTGTGAAGGAGGGAGAGAGAGAGGGAACAACACGCAGCAAAGGGCCACAGGCTGGAGTCAAACCCGGGCCGCTGCGGCAACAGCCTTGTACATGGGGCGCCTGCTCTATCCACCAAGCCACCAACGCCCCTTATTAATGTATTTCTTGGCACTTTGAGGACCACAAGCCGAGTGTCATCTTGTTCCATTATATTCAAAAGAAGGCAGACATCTTGGAGGGAAGTCAAGGAATTCCATTGAGCTCAGTGACATGCCCAATACACACACCACCTCAAGATCTATCGATAAGATAAGTCTTCTTGCTGACTAACTGGACAAAGTTAAAAGCTTCAGGGTAATACAATCTAAGATGGGAGGAGATAAGCATGTTAAAATCATGATTAAAAAAACTATACCGTAGGCACAATACAAGAGAAAAGTTCAGAAAAGTTGAATAAAATCAGAATTCAATGTAGGAGGTCTATAAATCAAAACACATAAAATACAGCTCTAGTTGTGAATTAAAAAGCTTTGAATCTTAAAAGTGAAGACATTGCTGAGAAATGTATTTTTCAGAGGGTATAAAACACCTTTTTTTAAGTAGTATTAGTTCTAATTTCGAGTAGTAGTAATTTTTCAAGTTTCCCAGAGAAAGTATTGTGTCCTAAGATCAGAGTAAATCCACACTAACACCAAGAAAATGTTTCTTTGTCATCTTGTTTTTAATAAATAAATGAATTACCTAAATAGTTTGAAAATACATGTAACATTTTGATGAAAAATTGCCTTCGAAACAGTCATGGCCAACAACACAAGTATGTAAACTACACAAAGAAAGACACAAACTGCTGGAAAATGTTAGACATAAAACACAATCTAACATGTATGTAGCTCTTACACACATACACTTTCACATTGCACATTATGTAAGATAAGACGAGGACGTTCACATCACAAGATGCCACAGAGGTGCTCGCTTTTAGTGCAGAGCAGTGCTGAACAGGCACGTTAAGTTTGACATTCAATGGTAACTAGTGCAGGATTTTCCTTTAAATGTAACATCAGCGTTCTTGTGAGCCGCTATCTAATAATTCATTATCTCCATTTCTTAGTGTTGACTACTGTGTGTTATATCAGAGTTTACAGGAGATTGAAAAGAACTGCAAACTTAAAAAAAAAGGAATGAATAAAGATGGTTAGTCTTTGTAAAAGGAATGGTTGTAATTTTTAGGTAACGCTTAGTGTCCTCACAGCTAAATTCACAGTAGCACAATGATTACAGTAAACTACAAGTACCATCGATTAAATACAGCAGGTCTGCACTTCAGTAAGGATTTAGATCTGACATTTGCAATAACCTAAAAGTCAGTGATAGTAATGTGAGGCAAAATAAATTATAGAAAATGTTTCCCTATTAAAATAATCCAAACATTTTACTCATACATGAAAAAAGAGACACAATATGAAGTTAAACCTTCAGATATGGTCCCGTGATTGTTACAAGGAATTAGAACTTAACATTGAAAGTGCAACAACTGATGAAAATAAAAAGGAGAGGAATTCAGTTGACTTTAACCGGAAAACAAAATTATTAATCTGTTTTTCTGCATAATACATGAGAAAGTGGATTAAAAGCAGCAGAACTAGAAGGATATCAAGGATGTGTGCTTCTGCACCGAACTGTCGAGCAGGTGTGCTTTCAATCACTGATTCTTCACCACCTTTTATGTGTCGATGGAAAATGTCATAAGTTTCTCAGTGCGTGCTGTACTGATAGAGAAAGCTGCGTTTACCTGCTCATGGAGACACACTGGCAGTGCCTACATGTGCCAGGATGCATTGTGTGAAAGCATAGAAGACGTAGTTGACAGACATAGTTAATTAATGTCTATCTGCCCTCTTGGCCCTGCTGGACTGGTTTTTCTTTTCCAGTTTATCTTCAGGATCTTGATGAAGGTCTCTAGCCTCTGTGCAAATAAGGAGTAAAACTTTCAAGCTTTTACTTTGATTAATAATGCAACAAACACTGCCCGTGCTGAAATTTAGTGCAGCAGAATGATTCAGTTTTTGTTGGCACTGGAGAGCAACTTGAGCAAAGGCACCACCAGTCAGCGATCTGGTTCTGGAGGGTCATATCCTCTCACACGGCAGCTTCAGCCTCTCTTTACTTAATCTCTTCCGCCGTATACTCTGGCTTGAATAAATACTGCTGAATAACCGAGTCAGCCAAAACACTGTAAAATGTATCCTCTTCATAACATCCTCTGCACTCATATTTTAGGATGCCATTTCCGCTGTTGTAAACGTAGCTAGTGTGCAATACAAGCAAACAAGAAAGTTCTGTTTATGAAGCTACAAGTCCAAGCTGAAGTAGCCTGTTGTTCTGTCTCACGCAGGTTCTGCTGCTCTTCTCCAATCACAAGCACTCATTCGCCACTGAAATTTATATAAATGCAGACGGCCAATATGACAACAATTATTTACCCACTGAAGAAGAAGTAGTTGGGCTGTGGTGACTAACCTTTAGCAAGTCAGGATCAGTGTGCCTGGGTCAATGTTATGTCGCAACAGGGTGTTTATTCATCAGGCTCCACCCAATGTACCCATAGAGTCCAGTAGAGAGCAAAGCAAAGGTTATGATTATTCTAATTCTATGAGAAACAGGCAGAGCCCTCTACCTTGGTGTCCTGTCGCTCCTGTGCTTGTTGACCCCTTGGGTGCAGGATAGCTGACGATGTCCTGGTACTGCCTTATAAACTGTGGGGCCTGCAGGTATTTGTACAGGCGTGTCCTGATTCTTTGGCTACGTCTCTGCACATTTCAGTGGCTGAATCATGTTCATGGTTGAAGGAGAGTATTACCCACAGAGTCCAGCAGAGGGCTCCACAATTGCTAACGGAACTAGGGTTGCAATATTGTAACCTTCATTCTTCCTTGCCTCCAACTATGTCACTGTCACGCCAAATGATGGTGCTGGCTGCAGGAAGAACAACAGATTTTGCAGCTGGGAACTCGGCTTTCACTGTCAAATAAAGACACACTGTGGAATTCACTGCTTCCGTCTACTACATTTACCATCAACACTGACCGGACATCCACAGAAAACGTGGTGAATTTTCCCTTTAAAGTCACAGATAATGTCGAGCCTTTACAATTGCTGCGTTTTACCAAAAGAGTGAAGGTGTTCAGCTGCAATTGTTGTTTTTTGTGTGAAATGTGTTTTCAAAGAAGACCTAGTATAAGGTGCCAGTACTTGGATGATCCAGGTTGTATGCCCTTGACATGGAGAGACAGTGGTGGACTGAGTCTGTCAATCAAGAAGAAGGAGGAGAGGAAGTTTTGGTCCAACAGGCTGCGTCATATCATTGTGTGTGTTAACATGAGTCGCCACATAAGACAACTCCTGCTTCTCGCTGTCGGCTTTGTAAGAGTTACAGTACATTGGGAACCTTTTGGCCGTGAAGCCGGTCTGATTATGTGACAGTTTTGCGTTCGGTCCTGGGTACCCATCTGTGTGTGGTAACTTTCCACAGCACCGGTGCCAGCAGCAAACTGAGGGTGGTGACGCTGAGAACCAGCAGGTACACCTGAGCAGACAGAGACACGTAAACAATAGAGACTGAGAAAATCTAATTAATTGTTTTTACTATTTCACACAGGGCAGTGAATTAAAAGCAAATGAAAAAGACATTAATTGGACCAAAACAAATTCCAGTCATGAATATGAAAATGCACCACTTGAGCCTTTTTCTGTCTGAAGAGTAAAGAAACGTATCACTGACCTCTCTGGAGATAATTCCAGCACGACGTGCACGGCTGCCCAGGACGAAGGAGAATTCGCTGACCTGAGCCAGACCTGCTGATACGATCCATCTTATGTGTCGAGAGCCTGGAGGCAAGATGGCCGACAGCACCAGTACGGCCATCGCGAACTGGGAAGAAATGAGGAGTGGAAAGAGGAGGGGGTGAGAGTGTGGCAAAAGGTAACTGAAGAGGAAGAGCAAAAACAGAACAGTGCTGTACCTTCATAATGACGAGTGTGAGCGTTAGCACCAGCAGAATGGTGAGCTCATACAGCACGAATGTCGGGAACACGTGGAGACCTGCGGTGTCACACAAACACACATGATGGTTCAGTTAAATTTCACTGGTACTAAAGTGTAACATGATAATAAAGCTGTGATCTGATGTTGGATCTGACCGATAGAAGCAAAGAAGATGATGGCGAGGAAATCTCGGATCGGCTCGATGCATCCCATGACCTCTGCGGTGACCATGTGACCCTGTGTGGACAGCAGAGCTCCAGCCAGGAAACAGCCCAGCTCCATAGAAACATCCAAAAACTCTGTCACCTACAGAGTCAGACAGCGAGAGAAAAATAAACACACACAACTGAGAACAGGGATCCCACACATTTGTACCACTGAATTTTCAAAACTTTTCCATAATTTCTTCCCTCATTCCCATAACTTCATTTACGTAGTTTAAACGGGTATCCTGTTAAGAACAAATGATTAAAATCAAAGTGTGTACCGTCAGCATGAAAAAGACAAAGGCTGCCATCCCCAGCACCAGGATCTCCTTGTTGCCTTTGCTCTCAGCATGCAGCTTCTTGTAATATGGGCCAATCAGGAACGATTTGATTAACAAACACAGCAGCAGCACAGCAGCCAGACAGACCAGGACCTGGGCCAGGAGGTACAACACGCGCAGACTTCCAAACAGGAAGCTGTGCTTCACAAAGGGGAACAACAGATTTAGAAAAGCCGTGTGTGCGTTTTCGGTTGAGGAGACGACACATACACACACACACACACACACAAAAAAAAGGCTAACTGACCTCTCAGATTCTCCACTCTGTGCCTGGATCAGAGTCGGCATGACAGCGATGAAGAGGCCAAGCTGAACATCCTGCATCACTAACATCCCCAGGAGAACGCTGCTGTAGTCCAGATCACCTGTCTCACACACATACACACACATTATTGAACATTGGGTCATCAAGAATTGATCTAAATACAGTATTTCTAATATATGGGGTTACAGAGTGTCACAGCAGTTTGTTTTACTGATGTATAACTGCATTGGAAACACATACAGGGTGCTGTATTACTACTTGTTCACATCTATGTTCTTTTACGTGCCCAGACATGCATACATACCTTCTTTGTCCCCTCTGCTCCCCCCTGCCAGGAAGCGGGACACGAGTGGGGTGCTGGACAGAGACAGACACGTGGAAATGAAGACAGTCTGTGTGGGTCGAATACGCAGGACTTGTCCCCACAACAGACCGGCCCCCACCATCAGCAGACTCAGGTAGCACGACCCCTGGACTGATGTCTTCCATACCTACACATACAGATACGCACAAATGTTTACTTGTGTCATTTTTAGGGACATTACATAGACTCCGATCTTGTTGACTTACCCCTAAATTAACCCCAACCATTACCTAACTCTGACCATGACAGATAACCCTTCTGTGGTATTAGATTGTGTGAAAATGTAAGCTGAAAAAAAAAACACTTTACCCCTCCTCGCATCCTGAACACACACATTTCTGGCTAAGGACAAAGGGCTCATGCTCTCTTCTGCTCATTTTTGGCTCCTGACTGTGTGCTGGTTCTGGCTGCGGCTCTTCAAGCCCTTGTATATGTGTGTATGTATACTATCCCTAAGTCTGTGCCACCTGGAGAAACACAAAGAGAACAGAAGCTACACTCTTGTGCTCCTTCCCGCTTGTCCTCTTGTCCTCCTGCTTGGACACGTTGTTGCCTATTGTTCCTGGCTCCTGACACTTCTACTGTTGTGGCCCTGCGGGATGCTTAGCCCACAAATTAGGCTGTGACTGTGCAGTACTGAATAGGCTGAAATGCCTGAATCCAGCTACTGATGAAAGAAAAGAGACTTTGGGAGAAACTCTGCAAGACAATCTGGGCAGAAGCTCTGAGCCATCCAAAACAGCCTGACTCGTTAGATGAAGCAAAGCTGCCAGTAACTAGTGATTCCCCACTGTATGGATGTGGTTAAAGCCAGCATTCAGCCCTTTTTTGAAGGAAAAGAGACTTAATGTAACCAAAATGGCCACAACAATTTCACGCCAGTCAAAACGGGGATGAAAAATAATGAGCCACTTGCCTCAATTTGCACACCCAAAAAAAGCCCCATGAAATTAGTGTGGGCTGCTCACTTGTTACGTATAGTCCCATACTGCTGATGAAAATGGAAATTTTTGTCAATTCAAATCCCTCATTTACCTTTCGAAGGCGCTCAGGTGAGAACTCCAATCCCACCACAAAGAGGGTGAAGAACACACCCAACTCCCCCAGAGTCTCCACCTGGACCATAGACTGCAACAAGACACAGAGACAGACACTGAGACATGAACAAATAGCACAGACTGGTGTCGTTCTTCACGTCTGATCTGACATGCTGGCACTGTAATCGCACACACACATACACACGCACACACACACCTTGATGCTGTTGAGACCAGAGGGACCGAGCAGGACCCCACAGATGATGTATCCAAACATGGGAGGGAGACCGACCAGGCTGCAAATCCAACCACAGGGCAGTGACAGCATCACCACCGACACCAAGTCCTGTTGCAAAAAACATGGTGGTACAATATAACTATAAATATAAGAAAAACAAATGAATACAGACTTGGCACTTCTTATGTAAACAACAGGATGAGACCTGAGTGGGAGGAATAAATTGACCTTGATGAAGTGATGGTCTGCTCTGGGCATCGTGGAGTCTCGTGGTTTGGTCAGGACATACTGGTTGTTCTGCGAGTCAATGAGCATGCTCAGCCCGAGGTCATCCTCCACTTCCTTTTGCTTTGACTTGTTCTTCCTCTTCCCTCCATTCTCCTCGTCATCCTCCACTCTCAGCACTGCCTCTACATTTACTCCTTTCATCTACACAAACAGGGTGTGGACGAAGGCTCAATTTCATGCTTTGTTGAACAAGCAAATATATTTGCAGTCATAATCTCTTTGGCGTCATGTCAAATCAGCCTCAGAGTGTCTGAAATCGATTAAGTAACCAGTCTGTGAATGCTGTTGTTTGCTGACCTGTTTGTTGTTGTCAAAGGCGTGCTCCTCGATCTCCTCTTCCAGCCGGTCTGCTGCCTTCCTGACGTCCTCCAGGATCTCATCGAGGATGGACAGAGTCTTATTCTGGGTTAAAGCATTCTTCACAGCCTCCTGCTGGTGCTTCTCAGCAGCCACCAGCTCGACGTACTCCTGTTCCTCCTGGAAGGTGACAGGTATGTATTAGCAGGTAGCTTTACAGATATATTAAAGGGACAGTTCACCCCCAAAATAAGAATAAAAAAACAGGGAATATTTAACTATTTCTTGATATTTTATAGATTAAACACATAATTAATATGAAAACATATATAGAAATATTACTCTACATTGTATCAGAAACACCAACACTTTAGACTAACATGTATGTATCAGCGACTCTCTCCTGCACTCTGTCAGAGTCTCTGTTAAACACTGCTGACCACGAGGCCCTCACCTTTATGGCTGCCTCCCTGAGGGCCTCCAGCCTCTGCCTGCTGCTCTCCTTCATGTTGACCACATCCTTGTAGTCTCCCTGCAGCGCCCTCTGCAGGCTGTGCACCGCCTGGAACACCAGGTGTTCGCTCTCGTTCAGTTCCTTCTGGAAAACCTCCAGAGTGTGAACCTGAACACAGACAGGGAGACACCAGTCAGTCATTACACTGTGAAATATCTGACATCCCCTCTACCAAAGCTCTTTCATATGGCCTTCATTTCTGAAACACAATATGAGAGCAATTTAGGTGCCTAAGAAAAATGTTCTCAGTGTTTTTTCATAGGATGTGTTTGTAATAACAAAATCAAAAGAATACAGGAATTCCCATGCATCCCTTTAAAGCACTTAAAGTGACAATATTTGTCCTAAAATTTGATATAATCTCTTTATGTGGGCTACTCTGTGCTTTTATGCACTCTGTGCTTCCCACTAGTGTCATCTCAGGAGACCGTTTAATCTTTTGATTTGGGTGGAAATGTTTTATGGAGCTTTAACAAGAAGCCATTTAACCTGCCTGGTGTGGTGTCAGGCCATTATCTAATCCGCAGCTGAAACAATTACTTGATTGGCTGATAAGTCAATTAAAAAAAATTAATCTGCAACAATTTTGATAGCCCATTCATCATTTAAGTCACCATTCAAGAAAAAATAGCAAATATTTTTCTGTTCTAGCTTCTTCCATGTGAGAACAGGGTGTCAACAGGTATCAGACACTTACATTTAGTGCTTTTTAAGACTTTTTAAGGATATTTTTTAACCAAATTTACAACTGATTTTTGGACAAATCTTCTTTTTCTTATTCAAAAGTGAGTAGTATATATGTGGTCCTGTGCGTAGGTAGGTTTTATGTAGGAATATGGCTACTAAAGCGACTTAGGTTAATCTACATTTTGCCAGCTGGTAAGTGCAAATATAAGGTAAAAAGACAGTATTAGGTTAAATGGTCAGTTTAAACATTTGTAATATCAGAAATGTGGACTTGCAAGCAAAAGAGCCTGACTTATTTTCACAAAAAGAAAAGATGGATAAAGAAATTTAGATAAATTGTTTATGGCAACTAAGACATCACAAATTCAAATTAAACACTATTTTGTGACTTTTTAGGCCTAATATTTAGAAAACTGAATTTAAGACATGTAAGACTTTCTAAGGACCTGCAGACACCCTGAATAATTTGCTGCATTTTAGTTTTGTATCATTGGTAATTTAATTAAGTTTCTTTGTTTTAATCTGTTGGTTGACCAAAAACGCAATTTGAAGACATCAGAAGAGGAGCTCTGTGAAACGGCAACATTTTAATTGATTATCAAGTAATTGTTAGTTGCAGCTGTAATCAAAGCAGGCCATCTCCTGTGTAAATGGGAAACCTGATCTGTGAAATATGAACAGGCATTATTGTGGAGCTATTGTTTCAACACACAGACGGTCAGTGACACCACTCCGACAAGCTGCCAACCTTATGTTTCACACACTACTGTAAGTACTGTCGCAGGCTAGTAAAAACAAAGCTAAACAGTCACTAATGTATAACCTCATTATGATCCAAACAAAAGGTGTTTGTTCCATCTGATAGTTATTCTCAGTGTGGTACCTGGAAGAGCCTCTCTGGCTCTGAAAGGGTCCGGTCTCGTCTAACGCCGTTGGCAGCGGCTGCCAGCTTCCTGACGACCACATTCTTCTGACGCAGGAGACCAACGAGCCGCTTGCAGTTGCTGGCCACCCAGCTGTGGCCGTGTGTGGCCCCCTTGCTCCGATAAAGCTTGATGGCGTGCTGGGCCACTTGGTCCTTGTGCAGCGCACCAAGTGCCCCCGCTGTGCCAAGGCACAGCAGCCAACATACAACCTGCATCCAAACCTCTACGTCTGTCTTCACCAGAGTGTGAAGAGTGCTGAGGAGAAAGAGATCTGGGAATGGAAAAAGAAAGAGAGCAGTTGTTACAAATATAGAACAACAAGGAGGAGAATACTACAATATATGTGGATTTAAAACGTGTAGGGTGAACGTCAGGAGAGCTTAAAGCTCCTCTGGAGATATATATTTTTCTTATTGTCATCAAATCCCATGAAAAGACTAAAACAACAATGAACTGATCCCACTAACAAGTGCAGTCTGTGTATCCAAAGCTTTGCAGTAACTATCTTTGTGACACAGACCTTTATTCATGTCCAACTAGAATAACCGCTCTCATAGTTGTATGTCTCACCCAACCAGTCAAGCTGCAGTTTACATCCATGTCTGTCCATATTAATATAATATACTATGTAGTGAAGACATCGAGGAAGTTTAATAAAAGGCATTAAGTGTATTTCTGGCAAGGTTTTCACAATTTCCAGTGAGAAATATACTGTCTTCACTAAGAGACTATTTCACTTTATCACTTGGTGCAACGACAATCACCTGAATCTTAATATCACCAAAACCCATGAGCTTGTGGTGAACTACCAGAGGAACATGACAATACACAAAGTTGTGGCCATGATAGTAGATAATGCTTCAAATATGGAAGTGGCTGCAAAGAAGCTACATATTCTAAAACATGGATGCTTCACACATCTTCTGCAGCTGATAATAGTCCCTCACAAAGACACTACTTTGTTCTGGTTGAGCAATGTTAGCTAAAATCACACACATCCAGACGATGCACACTCAGTGCTGAACAAGAGATCATGCAAAAGACAGACTATACTTGTGATATCGAAAGAACATGTCAGGATTTTTTTTCGAATGTGGCACAAACGTTCACTTGGACTCAGCAATGAACTCATTAGAATTTGATGGTCGAACAATCCTATTGTCGAAAGTCAAAGGTCACTTAACAGAATACAATGATGAAGTGATAACATTTTATATTCAGGAGGTCAAAGGTCAGCTCCACTGTGACATCATGATGTTCTGCAAATATACTTTTCTGGCCCATACTCAGCGTCATAACTCAGGATCAGAGGGGGAGACATTTGGTTAAAACTGAACTAGTGACACTAATCTTGGGTGTCCACCTTGAAACTTTCCTGATTGTATAGATCTTCTGTGCTGCTGTATTGAAGACGTGAGAAGCATCCATGTTTTCAGAGACATGCATGTAAACTGTAAGTGCAACCTGACTGGTGTGCTGAGGCATGCAGCTGAAGGCGGTGAATCTAGTTCTATATGTATTCGTTAAGGGGTGTCAACTAGGACCAGGTCACCTGTCAGGTTGTCTGTCAGGTGACCAGGTCTAGCAGGTATTTGAAGGCGTGTCTCTGAACTGTATTCTGTTAAAAGAATGTGAAGCTTGAAACATCGCCTCGGAAGAAATTCAGTTAAATATTTTAGAGGAGCAGAGTCAAGCATGCGGACTCTTTATAAAATCCACAGTGGCCAGCTGTTTTAGGGATTTATTTGGCCTTTCTTTTTATAAATGAAAGTATATATTTGTGACTTGTTTTTAAAGTTTTATGTCTTCAGTGGTAACAAATGGGCTCAGTGCTGAGAGCTGACGAAGAGGGAAAGTATTGAGAGACAGATTTACATCTTGTTTGTTTTGGTCTTTTCGTGGGATCTGTTGATAATAACAAAATTATAAAAATCCTGTAATTGTCAGTCACACCCTTTAAAGCACTTACAGTGAAAGTATTTGTCCTGAAATTTGACATAGATAATCTCTGTTTATGGGCTACTCTGTGGTTTTGTGCCCTCTCTGCCTCTTATGGCGTCATCTCAAGAGACAGTTTAATCTTTTGATCACAGCAGAACAGCTTAAACAACAGCGGTGTGCACTCACCTGAGGCGTGTCCTGCTGGCTGCTTTGAGTTGCTATTTGCAGCTTGTCCTGCTATGTTAAGTGCAATTGACTCAACTGAGCGCATCACATGTATAAATTCCAGTAGTGCTTGCTATTCTGCCTACAGCTAATGTGATGTTGCATTTCTATTTGGCCTGAGAAGTGTGCCAATTTAAGAAACTGCTTTACAGTGAACAGGATGCCCTCTCGTATCCTGACATCATGTGTTTGCTTACACATTAATGAGCAAATGCATTCACATTCAAGCTGGACCGCACCTTTGTGAGCATGAGTCAAGCTGGATGATGTTTACTTTCCAAAACTCCTCCTCTGTCCTTCTTCCTACGACTGGACTACAGCCACTCTGGTGCTGTTGCTAGAAACAAATAGCACAGTTGGGTGGATTAATTTGTAGCAATGCATCATATTTCTTAAGATGATCACAGGAGAAAATGAAATGTCACAATAGTGATGACAAAAAAATCTCACTGTGAGGTTTGACTATTGGTGCTTTCTTAAAATATTTACACAGTGAGATTTCTGATAATCATTGGTAATGTGGATATAATGACTAAGTGGGTAAAGGCAAATAATAGAACAGCTAGACAAGTCTGGTTAGTTCAGAAAAAGAAATCTCTGTGGTGAAATGCAGCCTTTAAAACCAGGAAAAGACGACACTTGTGATATTACAAAATCTAAGACGATATCTGGTCTCATATTGCAAGATCAATATATTATAGAAACATCTCCAGGCCTATATGATCATAATTCAGTCTGAAAAGTATTACAGTAGCTGTTACAGAAATGTAATGGTGTGGAAAGTACAGTTTTTCTCTCTGAAATGTAGTGGAGTAGAAATATGAAGTGGCATGACATGTCAGTAAAGTTCAAGTAACTCTACTTTTAAGGTGCATTTCTGTCACTGATCCGCACCCAAGTTTTGCCTGCTAGTCAATTTTGGCTACTAAAAACATAAAGGTTGTTCTCTACTGATGGATGCATGTACATATCTAAATCCATAAGTACAAACAGCTGAATATCAACAATGCAAATGCCATGTAAATAAGTAACAAACTACAGTGGAGATCAAATCAACCGTGGCAGCCAAGAATAACATCATACAAAGCTGCACACACCGCAGTCCTGAATGATGATTCAGGAAACACCACGGGGCGCTGAAATTATGAATTAGCTCAACGTCCCAAACACAGATTACTCAAATTTTTTCTCTGAGCTCATCAGTGGAAACAGATAACGAAAGAAAGGCTGCAACTACCTGCGAAATATGTGCACTGTCCTGGATCCCAACTCCACTCCACGACTGAAGGAGAAGCTGAAGAAGAGGAAGGGAACAATCATGCTGTTGTACCACCGCACCACCACCACCGACACCCCTCCTCCCCCTGCCACATAGCTGAAGCCAGCGTCGATGCAGGCGTTCACCGGTCTACTTGGCGACTAACTTCATGTTTACTTCGACCTCCAACCGAGGGTGACATTATTCGTGCTACCAAATGGGATGCTAACGCTACTTCGTCCGGGTAGGTGCGACTGCTGTTCATGAAACCCGTGTTAGAGTAGTGCCAGTGCTGTGTGTATAAAGTTGTTTTGTACCCTGTAAAGCTAAGTAAAGCTAAGTTAGCCCTCAAATTCCTCAGAGCTGTCAGACCAGCTCCAGCCAGCTCAGTCCACACACACTCCCATGACACCAAGCTAACACAACTTTGCTATCATTAGCCTAATAGCTACATTAACACCACCAACTTTTAAGGGGTTAGCTCGTCAAGACGTGTCACAGTATAACGTAAACATACACCGCGAGTGAAAATTAAATAACTGCTGCATTGTTTTCTGAATATAATCGCGTCTGTATAACTTTGATCAATTTTAAGATTACTTCCGAAACATCTCGATCAGCCTCGAGATGGGAGTTGTAGTTTTTCCAGGTGTTATGTTTTCGAGCTCCACCGTGTGAAGTGCATTGGTATCAGTGACAGAAAGCTGTTGCCTGGTTAAATATGCTTTAACTTGTCGTCACAGTCGCTTGACATTATAAAATGTCTTTACTAATAATAACAGTGCAGTTTAAATAAGTTGAAAGCTGAGTTTCATCGACACAACGTATTTTAACATGGCGGCAACAAGACAGTTACATAAAGTGACCTTTTACTTTAAATATATTTCAGTAGAAGCAATTGGATAAACAATAAATGCGAAACAGCTGTCTATTAATAAAGAAAGACATTAAGCTAAGCTAATGGTGTCAAAACACGGCCTGTTGGACTCAGCACCACAGAACTACATTTCCCATGAACCCAGCGCCCTAACGGTAGCGCAGTTCTTTTCACGCATGCGCACCAGAGGTAATTGGATATCAAGTGGGCCAAAACAGCGTGTGATAAAATGGTAGGTACGATTAAAAATGAGAAACCGGGGCATTTATTTAGCTCCGTTAAACAAGTCCAAAAGCCGGTAACGGCTGTCACTGCCGTTAAGGGGACACACCGATACGGGGGATCGGGGTGTCCTCGGCCAAGTGTCGCATTGCCAGGGTGATGTGTGTCGGGAATATGAGGGAAATGGAAGGTCAGTTGTTGGTATTTTGAGCTCGGAGTCCCGCACTTGCTGTACGTACCTTTCCCTTTTTGGTAACTCGCCTGTGGTGCTGCTGCCCCGGGTCAGGAGAGACAGCCTGCAGGATCAAACGTCCCCCTTCCCGGGGAAACTGGGTCACCAAACACTGGCCTGTCACGGTGAATTTGCTGTTTGATCATCGGGTGGGTCAGGTCTGCAGCTCTGCAAAAGACGTGCAATCCTCCCGATGACCGTCTAGATTAAATGAGCACGAGGAGGTATATTTGTGTAAACTAACGGGACCTTGTGGTGGTGCATTTGGAAGTAACAGTGTTAACCTTTGTGCACTCATACTAACATACAGGCTTTTACACGCATGATGTGACTCTTACTTTTTTACCATACTTTTTTTTAATGTATGCACCAGATTTTATCATGTGGCACGTGTTATTTAAGTATAATCCACATCCAACGATGTTTATATACACATTAAGTAGTTTCCAGCCATGAGGTTTCAGTGGAAGTCAAATTCATGCATGCTCATCCAAGTGTGTCTTCTGTGTTATGCTGAAATGCAGCCCCAGCTTCACATGCATGTCTCTGCATCTCATTTTACCCCAAACTGGATTACCACCCTGGCAACATAGGCACCTGTCTCAGGGGTCCAGACCCTCAGGGATCCCGTTGCAACTTTGATCATTTGTTTTGGTAATATGCTGAAATGGTGAGGGTGTCTGCATTTTAACACAACCTTGAAGCTCTGCGTTAAAAATTTTAATTTTCACTTTGCTTACATGGTGCACACCCTCAACAAAGGTCAGGTAGTATTATTCTGAGGATGTGTACGTGTGTGTTTGGGGGGGGGGGGGCTTAGTAGGCCCGGGCCAGCAGGTTACTCCAGCCCTGCATTTACAAAGAGTCGCTGCCTGTCTTACAGCACAAGTTGAAGTCATCGCAGAAGGACAAGGTTCGGCAGTTCATGTCCTTCACGCAGGCAGGGGAGAGGACAGCCGTGTACTGCCTGACGCAGAATGACTGGAAACTAGAAGTCGCCACAGACAACTACTTCCAGAACCCAGACCTCTACTACAAAGAATCCATGAAAACCTCAGTGGACCGCAAGAAGCTGGAACAGCTCTACAACAGATACAAAGGTAAGTGTTTCAAAACTAATTTTAAAGGCCCAATGTGCAGGATTTAGGGGGATATACTGTCAGAAAATCTTTTTGTTTTTGGAGAGAAAGAGACCTCTGAAGAATACAACCTCTGGTAAAAACCTGAACGTCTGGATCTTAAGTTACACAGAACACAGGTGTGCACACATGAGTAGTTGCTGGGCTAGTGGCCTGTCTCTGATGTGCCTGTTCCTCTAATAGCCGCACTGTTTGCTTGTCTTGTCTGTTATATTTTGGCAGTGTTTTGCTCACTCCTTACATCTGTTGTTGCAGACCCCCAGGATGAGAACAAGATAGGCATTGATGGGATCCAGCAGTTCTGTGATGACCTGACGCTGGATCCAGCCAGCATGAGCATCCTTGTGGTGGCATGGAAGTTTAGAGCGGCCACGCAGTGCGAGTTCAGCAGGAAAGAGTTCCTGGATGGCATGGCTGAGCTAGGGTGAGCAGAACTGATACTGATATCTACAATATTTTATCAGACACATCAGGGAAGGTGCCATCATTTTAAATAGTAAGCAGTTGTGAAAGTTGTTTGTGGAACTGTGTTGAGTGAAAATATTGAATCTCAGACTGTATATTCTGTTAAATATGACCTCAGACTTCACATTGTACCAGTTTGTTTGTGCACTTTGCCCCTACTTATAGCAGGATTTTTTTTTTGTTTTTTAGCTGTGACAGTCCTGAAAAACTAAAGACGATCCTTCCCAGACTAGAGCAGGAGCTGAAAGACACAGGGAAGTTTAAAGACTTCTACCAGTTTACCTTTAATTTTGCCAAGAACCCCGGCCAGAAGGGTTTAGGTAAGTGTGAGGAAAAAACATGATGGAGGTTTCTACAGATTTTATCTGAATAAAAAATACTGTCTGTATATTGAAAAAACCTTTCTCTACTTTGTGTCCTAGACCTCGACATGGCTCTTGCTTACTGGAATCTAGTTCTCACAGGTCGCTTCAAGTTCTTGGATCTCTGGAATCGCTTCCTGCTGGTAAGAGACAAGATTTTTGCTGGCCTGTTTTCACCCTTCTATTTGTTTTGTGTGTATGTCAGCAGGAAATTACAAAAACATATAGAAACCCTGAAATGTTGTTTGTTTTTAATGTTCATTGCAAGACAAAAGACAACAACAGGCCAGTTGACAAAATTTCGTCAGGGAATAAGAAAACAAGGTTATGTTAGTTGCCGTGTGTTGTGCTGATCTGATTTTTGTGTATGCGTGTGTGTGTGTGTGTGTGTGTGTGTGTGTGTGTGTGTGTGTGTGTGTGTGTGTGTGTGTGTGTGTGTGTGCGTGCGTGTCTGTGCTCTGAACAGTCAGATTGGTGTGAAGTTGCTAAGGTGATGGATGAAAAAGAAAGGGGCGAAAAGGGGCAGGATGGAGGTGGTGAACTAAAGGAAAGTGTAGCAAAGAAAATACCTAAATAAAACAAACAAGCAAAAAAAAAATCATAATAATTAAAAGAGAGTACACTAATGCTCATACTGAACCTACCATTGTTACTACTAACAATAAAAACATCGAAAATAATAAGGAAGTCGGGGGAGTGTCACCCTGTTCACTGGCAGTGAAGCAGGTTCAGGGTGCCGTCAGGTGTCTGTCTCATTTACAAACGACATGTGGAGACGCAAAAGTCAAATTATGTCTCTTTTCAATTGTTTTCATACCCAGATCTAGAAAAAAAGCCTATCTGTACAGTTATGTTCACAGCCAATCACCACAACTTTCCTTCTTTTTAATGTGACATGTGATTGGCTCACTGCCGCAGCAGCTACAACCCGTTCAGTCTGCGTCGAGAGTGGTGTATTTGACAGAGTTGGCTGTTCAGTATACAGAGATGCCATCAAAGTGGAGGTGGTGACATTTTATACAGCTGAATGCTTCCATTCACAGGATAGAGATCGAATGAAGTACGAAAAATAAAGGTATTAAATGAAGTACACTATTGGTATCAGTATTACTCTAAGGATACTCGTGTGATAATGTTTTAAACGATACCCAGCCCCTAACTCCCCACTGTTTTCCTGTTACTGTGCTGCATTCAGGAGCATCACAAGCGCTCAATTCCCAAGGACACGTGGAACCTCCTCCTGGACTTCGGCAATATGATCGCAGATGACATGTCCAACTATGACGAGGAAGGTGAGGTGGTTCAAGCAGGATGATTCCACATTGAACACTCATTGATCACATACACTTTAATTACTGACAATTTCAGTTAGTCCTCCTGATGAATGTCACCAGAGTAATGTCTTACAACTTGCATTAAAGGGTAACTTTTCAACCTGGACCCTTTCGCCCCATGTTTTTGTGTCTAAGTGATTAATTTGAAAAACAATTTTTGAAATTGGTTCAAAAAAGAGGGCTTCAGCTGGCAGCGGCGAAACAGGCTGCAGTGTAATCCCTTCGGGCAACTGAGCATCATCAATTTTGGTTCATTAAAAGTGTTTGTTTTTGCCACTGACAGGCTCACATTGTTATTGTAAGTGTCTGACAGCATTTTGGAAAGGACCCTATGGAGCCCAGAAATCACTTTTGTAAAACCCACCAAACCCCATTTGAATAAACACTAATTTTACCGTCATAAAACAAACGTTATTTAAAGTTGGCAGAAACAAAATAAAACTCACAAGAACAGTCTTGGTTCATCTTTCCACTGCTTAAACTATCAACAACTCTGGTATGTTTGAATTAAACCCTCAATCCACCCAGTTAGATGTGAAACTATGCTGGCTCTATACATGATAAAATTGCTCTTTATTTAAATGGAGTCTGGTGGGTTTGGTGATGGCGATTTCAAGCCTGTTTCTGGCTGAACATAAAGGAACTTACTCTTCAACAAGAAGGTCAACCTCTGGAGGGATCCTCTCCATAAGTTGTCAGACATTTATTTTAACAATTTGAGACACACATCTACTGAAAACAAGCACTTTTAATAGAAGTACACTGACTGTGTTCAGTTGCCTGCAGGCATTACACTGCAGCCTGTTTTGCCTCCAGGCTACAGCCTTCTTGCTCAATACTGGACCAGTTTCAAATGTTGTTGTTCCAAATAGTCACTCAGACACAAAATGTGGGAAAATGTGGTCTAGGTTTGAAAATATTGAAGCTACCTTGTAAAGTGATCTGTGTGTGTGTGTGTGTGTGTGTTAATGCCATGTGATGAACTGGTCCACTAAGCCGTTGTAATAGATTTCATTAAGATGTAACTAATATTCAGTTCTTCCTCTCTCCTCAGGGGCGTGGCCTGTCCTCATAGATGACTTTGTGGAGTTTGCTCGGCCGATTGTGACGAGTAAGCGCAACATCACATAGTGCTCGTCCCGGCTTCCTGCAGCGGACGGAGTTTGCGTTTCTCCCGATTTTCTTCTTCTTTTTTTGAATGAGGATTTTTATACAAACGAGCCAAAAAGAGAGTTCTTCTCAAAAAGCCTGTCTGCAGCTTGTCGTTAAGATTGTTCTTCCAACAGCATCAGATGCCTTGACCGAGGAGCGACCTGGAGGACCAGTTCAGAGAGGAAAGCAGGAGGGGAATCAGCAGGAGAGAGATGATGATGTGTTGTTTTTTTTTGTTGTTGTTGTTATTCGCCGGAAAGGACAGACTTTGTAATTGCAATATGGAAATGATGGGTTGCCTTGAACTCGTCACGTGTGGGCAAATCACCAACGGGTGTGGCTTCGAACTGCTGCTGCTGCTGCTGCTGCTGCTGCGGACTTGGCTCACTGACCTGCACCCTCGGCACAGTGAGGAGGGACAGAGGCGGTGAACTTTCAGCACATGCAGAGATTTAAAGTTACAGATGCAGTAGGATGTGGCCTCTTACATTGTCAATTGTGGATGGAACAGTACGTTAAAACCTGCATGTTTTTGTCAGCTAGTGTGAAGCAGTGCCGTGGAGGAGGAGGAGGAGGAGGAAGGGGAAAAGTTCTCTACATTATTTTCACTGAGATTGCGAATGTGTGGCTCTCGAACAATCACACTGAGAGTTGTGTGTGTGTGTGTGTGTGTGCGTGCATGTGTGTGTGTTTGGGGTCGGGGGTTGAACATATTGCCTCTTCTACAATACGATGCTAAATATTTTAATTTGGTTTTATGATAATTAGAAGTTAGCTGGGCGACAGCGAAAAGATCCACATTTTGCATTCACACAGAGAGTTGGACAGAGCAGCATGCTTTACGGGCTCAGCACCAGCAGAATCACTGTTGTTACAGATGTAAAATGCTGTACTTATAGGAAACAAACAATAGATTCAGCTTTAGAAGAACAGAAATGTATATCTGAGAAAACAGGAAATCGTATTTATAATCATGATTAGTACATAAGAAGCATTTAGGATCCTCATTTTTTGAAATGCTTCTGCATCACTCTGTTGACTTATTTTTGCAGTGAACTGCTGTACACACACACACACGGAGACTGACGGACAGGCACATTGACTGTTTTCTATTATCCAGGTGATTTGCCAACAAACTGCACTGATTTACACTTTTTCTGTTGTAGGTTTTCTTTATCAGGCAGCACTGTACACACATACAGAGCTATTCAGTTTACTTGACAGTATGTTCACTTACATATAAACTAGACTTTTTAAAATGAACATCTACATCCCAGCTGAGAGTATTTTAACTGTTTGTTACACTGTTTGGGGTTTTGGTCTGTTGCTTTTCATGGATTAGCGGCTGTAGTGCAATGGCGGCATGTTCAAGTACCGTACAGAGAAAAACGTCACTTTAAAACATACTTGTGCTGCCATCTAGGGGTGCAATGCTTTTCCTCAATACACAATTTAGTGTTGCTCTTACAGTTTAATTATAAACACTAAACACATCCCCCTTTCTTGGCTAAAGAGTGCGACAGAAGGTAGAGCTCAGGTACTAGTCGTCCTCTCCTAGACACAGTGAGCAGTAGGTGGCTTCCTGCACTTACATCAGAGTTTGCCATCTAACTACGCTGATCTTGTTTTACTGTTATGACCGTGATGAACACTTTGCCATGTGTTTAAATAAGGATGGATTATTTCCCTGCGTCAAATTTCTCAACTACAGGGTACATACTTGCCTTTTGTTTTCCTCAAGCCGACAGACTTGAGTTAAAGTTCTTATATTTATGTAAGCAGACGTCAGACATTAACTATGGTGGTGTGAGTGAAATAGGCTTTAAAGGGGCAGTGCAACCAAGAATCAAAAATGGCATATTTTTCCTCTTACCTGTAGTGCGGTTCATCAATCAAGATTATTTTGGTGAGTGGTCGAGTGGTGGAGATATCTGCCGTAGAGATGTCTGCCTTCTCTACAGTATAATGGGACTAGATGGCACTCGGTTTGTCGTGTGCAAAGTGGAAAAAAAAAACCCGGTACCGTATGATACTCATGATAATCTACAGACCTTGTTGTGAGTAATTTCATGTAGCAGCTGTTTTCTTCTTACCAAACTACACCCATATCACCACACAAAAGGAAGCATGCATCTACTGCTAGCTCACCTAGCACCACTGAGCTAGCTAACGTCACAGCTGAGGAGGATGCCATTAATGTTCTCATCTCGCTTTGTCACGAACACGAGCCTCTTGCCTATGAGTAGATGCACACTTCCTTCTGCAAGGTGATACAATTGGTAGGTGTAGTTCGGTAGAAAGAAAATAGTTCCTACATGAAGCTTCTCACAACAAGGTCTGTGGATTATCTTGAGTAACCAGGTCATGATTCCTGGAAAGAGACATTGCTGTTGAGTTTTTCAGATGTGTGTGAATGTGTATATATACAGAGACACTGCTGTTGAGTTTTTCAATTGTGTATATATATATATATATATATATGAGCACCACAAGTCAAGTGCCATCTAGTTCCATTATATTGGAGATATCTAACACTCGGCATCTCACACCAAAACAATCTACATTTATAAATAGCACTACAGGTAAGAGGAAAAAGATTTATTTTTGATTTGGGGGTGACCGGTCTCTTTCAGAAACTGATGCGGCTCAGAATGGGATTTCAGTCCCAGCTTGAATGCAGCCCAGCTTCGTCATGACTGTAAAACAGTCACTGTAGCAGCTGGTAAATGTCTCATATTGTTCATATTTGAAACAAAGCAAGTAAGATATGTTTTGGTGGAATGAAATACCCCATATAAAATTCTGACTGTCTCAGTTGTGCACAGACGTATCACAGCGAGGACAGAGAGATGGCGTGAAAGCTTTTCCCAGCTGATTGTTTTTGACTTGATTATCTGACATCGTCTGTGTTTCAGGAGAAAGAAAATGTGACATCTTTCAGTATTCAGTTTGCTAATATGGAACATTTGGTACATTTTTATTTGTCAGATGTTTGATCATCTGTTTCAAAATCATGCCTTTCATTCATATCAAAACAGTATTATTTTTGCCAGCAAGAAAACAGCTATTTACAGAATATTATGTTTTGTCATAGAAGCATATTGTATGTTGTTTTCTTTGAGAAAGTTGTCAATAAAGCATGTTGTTTTTAAAGGCCTTGTATAAAATGTACGTCTGTCCACAAAGTACAGCAGTTTGTTTTGTTATAATGTTGAATGTCGGTCAGCAGGATGGTGGTGTGCTGAAATCAGTATCCCAATATTAATATTTTTCTGAAAATCAGTGTGAACTACAACATGTCAAATGCTCAAATTCAAAACTGCAGCTAAAATATACAAGTCGATCTTATGTGCAATGGCCTGTATTGTCAATTTCAACTTCAGTTGTGTAAAATCGGAATGTAACAACCAGAGTGGACTCAAGTCACAAATTTGATTACCTTAGATTGTCTCGACAAAATCAACACAGACATGCAAACCATGGGAAGAGAAAGTTACAGACACTTTTACAATATGAGGTGAGTTAAATACAAAACAGGACAGAAACTTAGAGAGTTCATTCTGTTGAGGTATTGGTTAATAATGCTATACCCTATGAAAGTGCAATAGTGCAATGTCTTTTTTTTTGGGGCCAGCCATTTTAACAACTCTGTTGTTAAAATGGCATTACATTCAGTGAAGAGCACATTATGACTTGTTTAAGACTCAAAACTCAATGTGTAGGACTTGGGACTTCAGTGCAAAGACTACAGACTTGAGACTTATAAACTAATCACTCGGTCCCACCTCTGTCAGTAACAATTTTAAAAAAAAAACGTTTTTATTTAGAGCTTCCTTTGAAAAACTAATTTGAATTGAATTAACACTATTTGTAAAAGAAAATGGTTATATGTTATGATACCACTTAAAGGTCAGATGATGTGCGATTTGTTCTACTCTGTGATGATCTATGCAGAAGTTGTTGTCCAGTGGAGGCCCAAGAGTCAGCAAGTATTTACACTGACTGATGGCAAGGCAAGGCAGCTTTATTTGTGTAGCACATTTCATACACCAGGGCAATTCAAAGTGCTTTACAGAGCAATAAATATAAAACATAATAAAGGGTACAGAAAGGAGCAAAGAGAAACATATAAAAGGTAAAATGAATTACCAAATGATTTAGAATTTGAAAAATCACCATTTAAAATAGCAAAAGTGCAGATAAAAGGTGCAAAGATAAAAAAGATTATTTAAAATTCAGTTTAAAAATAAGGTTGCAGTTATTACATTATGGAGTAGGCAGTTTTTAGCTGTGACTTAAAAGTGTTCAGAGTCGGGGCTTGTCTAACATCATCTGGAAGGTTATTCCAGGTTTGTGCTGCATGATAACAAATCGCTGCTTCTCCATGTTTTGTTCTGAGTCTTGGAACAATCAGTGGGCCGGCCCCAGATATCCTCAGGATCCCAGAAAGTTCATGTGTCACAAGCATGTCGGAGATATACTTGGGCGCAGAGCCAGCAAGATTTTGAAATTAATTCTCTGAGTGGCAGGTGTAAGGATTTTAGAACTGGAGTAATATGGTCATATTTCCCAGTTTTGTTCAGGACCTGAGCAGCAGCATTCTGAATAAGCTGAAGCTCTCAAACAGCAGGGTGTCTGCAAGTCCTTGAAAAGTATTAAAATGTCTTGCATCCATTTTTATAAATATTAGGCCTTAAAATCATTCATTCTTCTTAATTTGACATTTGTGAGGTCTTGATTGCCACAAGAAATTTATCATATTTCATTTCAACAAATCTTTAAATCTACCATTAAACCTCATTCTGTATTTTTACATTGTACTTGCACATATCTGTTGGCAAAATGTAGATTAACCTAACTTACTCTAATAACCATGTTCCTACATAAAACCTCCCTCTGCACACGTGTCTAGAAAAAAATCTGTTTTAAATTCGGTTAAAATTTATTTTCTGAAAATCTTAAAAAGCTTTAAATTTCTGTGTCTGATGCCTGTAGACACCCTGTCAGAGATATGAAAACTAAATGGCAATAATGACAAAAACATCTCTGCTGAGAACCTCTGCCCTACAGTGTGTGTGTGTGTGTGTGTGTGTGTGTTTGAGAGTGTATGTAAAATGTCAGCTTGGTAACAGTTGTCCCTTATCAGGTTGCATTCCTGCTGCATATCATCATCATCATTGGCTCCTCTGGTAATGCTTTGTCTACTGTTACTCTGAGTATGTGCATGGCGACATTCACCAGCTGATACATTAAAAAATGAAAGGTGTATGAAGGGTTGGGAATAACTGAGAAGGGTTAAAATCGAGGCGTGAGGTGAAGAAGGTGAAAGAAGCAGCAACTTTTGGATGCAGTGCACATAATAGGAGAGGAGATTATCTGATGTCAGGGCAGGAGGTGATTAATAAAGATGTTTTAAAATAGCGAGGTAAAGACTAGAGAGTTGAGCTTTAATAAAGAAGGAGGCAGCCCTGAGGAGTGTAGATGATGCTCCATTCTTAACCTCCTCCCATGGGACGGCTGGGATGTCAACAAGGTCCAGCACCAGCTGACGAGCTTGCACTCCAGCCCAGCAGCACATTAGCATCTCCTCCAGCGTGTCCAGCCCTCCCATTACCACTCCACACACAGCCGTCCAGCTTTTAGGCTTCGGGGCCATGGGGATTGCCTTTTTAGGAGACACCTGATCACAGCTGAACTTCCCACCGCCCAACACAAAGAAACTGTGGCTGATAGCGTGATGCTTTCTTGTGTGTGTGTGTGTGTGTGTGTTTGTGTGTGTGCCCGCCCTTGGTACTGAGAGTGCGTGTCTGTGTATGAGACAACTGATGAGACACTAGACGAGAGCTCTGAGGGTGGGGAAGTGGTAGAGCTGTTACGTAGTGGTGGTAGAGCTGGTGAGACTAAAGTTCCTCAGGATGTTTTGTTTTTCATTTGTGACTGTGAGTCTTCTTAGGTGGTGAAGAAGACCTACAGCTGAAAGGAGATATTGGCACAAGTTTGTGCCAGGAACCATCCAGAGAAGAGAAGATCTTCTTGAGCTGGGAGAGCTAACGTAAGCGGAGCCCAGTATTATGGAGAAATTCAAGGCGGCCATGGTTCTGGGAGCGGTTGGTGATGCCTTGGGCTACAGAAAGGGCCGCTGGGAGGGCTGCACCTCGGGCAAGAAGATCCAAGAGGAGCTGGCCTCTCTGGGGGGACTGGGGGCCCTTAAACTGGACCCTGATAACTGGCCCCTGAGTGATGCAGCGCTGATGCACATCACCACAGCAGAGGCACTTATAACAGGTACGTTTAGGATCGATATCAATATAAAAGATAAAGAGGATTTATGATTGTCTGAGAGGCAGATAATGGAGCGGAAACCATAGCCAGGGTACTCACTGTTTGCTTCTCTCTTATATTTTGAACTGTTAAATATAAATATCGAATCGCATCTACCTTTAAACAGCACTAAAATCTTTAATTCTTTCTTTATTAAAAATACATACACAACCTAATATGTCCATAAAATACAGAGACAACATTTGACCTGTCCAGCTGAGCTCTACATTTAGAAAGACCAGAATAGCGTCTTCTATACACTCAATGGAAGCTGCTAATCACTAACTGGCAGACTGTGTCCCAGTGACAAAACCTGCTGACATACCATGATCCATCCCTGCAACTGGTCATCAAAGACAAAGTAGAAGCCTAACTGCAAATCACTGCCATGCTATCTCAACCCCTCGCAGGGTGGCCAGGAGTTACCAGGACAGAAAAGTCCAAAATAGACTACTTTGGAAAAGCTGATCCTCGGCTCCCCTTTACTGAACAATAGCAGGTCAGACTCCTCCATAATCTACCGGTGTCATGTTTGGCTGCAGACGCGGTTCAAAGCCAATGACAGCAGGCCTGTGAAATGACGATGACATCTATTGAGATTAGGAAGCCCTATTTAGCCACAATTCAGTATGCCTGCACCCGCCAGCCAAAAACAAAAGAACTTATGGAAGAGAATAGATGGATGAGAGTGGTGGTTTTGTCTTTTTTTTTAAAAACACTATACAGAATTACGTTGTGTAAAAGCAAATATTACATCAGAAACAGGCCAACTGCTATTCATTCTTATCTGAAGCAGAACATGAATAACTTAAATTAAAGGTTCAGTGTGCCATCTAGTGGTGAGGATGGCAACCAGCTGAAACTTCTCCCTGTTAGAATTCCTTTAGTGTGTATTGTTCAGGAGGTTTTAACCAGGAGCTAAATTATCCGCAGAGGTCTCTTCCTCTCCAAAACAAACCTCTTTAGTATTCTGACCACTCCAAGCGTTTTTTAAACTACGAGTCACATTCACCCATTCACACACACATTCACACACTGGTGGCAGAGGCTACCATACAAGGTGCTACCTGCTACTCGGTTTTTTAACACACTCACCACACCGATGGAACAGCCACCAGGAACAATTTGGGGTTCAGTATCTTGTTCAAGGAAACTTCAACATGCAGGCTGGAGGAGCCGAGGTTCAAACCGCTAATCTTTAGAATTAGTGGAGGACCTGACCCGATCCAGACATTCAGGAGGTTTTACAGGGAGTCAGATTATCCATAGTGGTCTCTTCCGCTCCAAAACAAACATAAGCAGTGGTATAAACCGGTAAAAACACAAACTAAAGCAGATTAACAAATAAAAATTCAATGTTTTTCTAATGCTGCTTGTCACGGAGGGGCTGATGACATCAAAATGCGAATGGCCCTATCTAGAGCTAGTGTTTGATTTGTCCCTTCTGGGCTAATGTAGAAACATGGCAGTGCAACATGGTGGACACTGACAATGAGCATTCTCACTTTCAGGTGATTATACTTATAATATACTTATATTCTATTCTATTTCTGCCAATATATCCCCCTAAATCCCACCCACTGGACCTTTAAACCAGAAGTTCAGGCCTGTCCTCAGTTATCCTCTGTGCTTAACAGAATCTAAACCAGAGTCCAGTCAAGAGGATGAAAGTCCCTGTCTGTCATCAAAATCCTTTATCACTAAATTAGAGGCCATGCTTCTTTGTCAACAAAGTCTCCCTTTCTCTCTCTCTCTCTCACACACATGCACACACATGCACACACACACACACACACACACACACACACACACACACACACATACAGTACACCCATAAACAAATTCTAACCGCATGGCTCGTGGATCCCGGTTGACCTCATGGTGTGGAAGTGACTCCACTCACTTCACAGGCATGCTTGTCCTAATCTGTGGTGTGGCAGGCTGAGGCTAAACTTAGCCCACTGCAGCACCACTCATCTTGCTTTGCATGCCAATCATGAATGACTCTAAGTCACTGTGTATGTATGTGTGTGTGTGTGTGTGTGTGTGTGTGTGTGTGTGTGTGTGTGTGTCCAGATTACTGGTGTCTGGAGGATCTGTACCGGGAGCTGGTGCGTCTCTATGTTGAAGCCATGGTGTCCCTCCAGGGCAGAGCCCCTGATCCTGCCACAGTGGAGGGCTGTCTTCACCTCAAACCTCACAACTTCCTGCTTGCCTGGCATACACCCTTCAATGAAAAAGGTCAATGGAGATTTTAGATGATGTCTTTTTTTAATGTTCAACATAACTACAGTATATTAACATATGCGTCTGGATGTGTGCATGTCTCCAGGGTCTGGGTTTGGGGCGGCTGCCAAGGCCATGTGTGTGGGTATGAGATACTGGCAACCTGACAGACTAGACAGCCTGGTGGAGGTCAGCATTGAGACTGGGAGAATGACCCACAACCACCCCACAGGTGACAGTTTCTAACCTATGAAAACAAATCTGGAGGGTGATGATTGTGCTGATGATCAACTGTTAACCACCTCTTGATTCAATACTTACTCGATTGGTGACTTTGAGATGTCAGTAGACACAACTGGTGTAGGGACTTGTGGTGTCACTCTTGGTTTCAGGCTTCTTAGGCGCCATGACAACGGCACTGTTTGCATCCTACGCGATCCAGGGGAAACCTCTTGTGTCCTGGGGCCGCGAGCTCATGAAGGTCATCCCTCGAGCTGAGGAGTACTGCAGGAAGACCATACGACACATGGCAGGTTAGATTGTGTTTGTGCAAGAGGCTGCTTATTTTACAGCTGATTAATTTAGGTCAGTTCAAACTTATAGGGATGGTTCACCCCAAAATCAAAAATCACAGTTACTCAAGATAATTCACAGACCTTGTTGTGAGCAGTTTCATGAAGAAACTATTTTCTTTCTAATGAGCTCCACCCGCCAACTGTATTATTGCGCAGAAGGAAGCGTGCATCTACTGTTAGAGCTCAGCTAAGGAGGACGCCATTTACGTTTACATCTCGTTCAGTCACAAGCCTCTTGTCTATGAGTAGATGCACGCTTCTTTCTGCGATACAGTTGGCGGGTGTTGTTACATGGGAAGAAAAAAGTCCCTGCATGAAAACAACTAGATCTTTTTTTTTTTTTGTTTAACTGGCTCTTGACTTCTATGAGTAGATGCATGCTTCCTTCTGCGATACGGTTGGTGGGTGTTGTTGGGTAGGAAGAAAATAGTCCCTGCATGAAAACAACTAGATCTTTGGATTATCTTGAGTAACTGGCTCTTGACTTCTATGAACAGATGCACGCTTCCTTCTGCGATACGGTTTGCGGGTGTCATTACATAGGAAGAAAAAAAGTCCCTGCATGAAAACAACTAGATCTTTGGATTATCTTGAGTAACTGGCTCTTGACTTCTACGGTAAGATGCATTCTTCCTTCTGCGATACGGTTGGTGGGTGTTGTTGATAGGAAGAAAAAAAGTCCCTGCATGAAAACAACTAGATCTTTGGATTATCTTGAGTAACTGGCTCTTGACTTCTACAGTATGAGTAGATGCACGCTTCCTTCTGTGATACAGTTGGTGGGTGTTGTTACGTAGGAAGAAAATAGTTCCTGCATGAAAACAACTAGATCTTTGGATTATCTTGAGTAACTTGCTCTTGACTTCTGGAAAGAGACATTGCTGTTGAGTTTTTCAACTGTATATTTTCTTTGGCGTTTTGAGTACCACAAGCTGAGTACATTATCTCAAACACTCACCAACTCACACCAAAACAATCTAGATTCATATAATAGCACTGCAGGTAAGAGGAGAAATTGCATTTTTGATTTTTGGTTGAACTTTCCCTTTAAACTTTGTTTGTTAAAAACACAGAAAAAAGGTAATGTCAATCCGTTTGTCAGTATATATATTAATTTTCTGAGTTCTGCATGTCATTGTGAATTTCTATGCAGAGTATCAGGAAAACTGGTTCTACTTTGAGGCCAAGTGGCAATTCTACCTAGAGGAGAGAGAGATAGAGAATGAAGGACAGAACAAACCTTCGTTCCCTGATCGCTATGATGCTGAGGAGACAGACAAGGTAAATCATGCTTAGTATATATATATACACACATGAAGAACAGAGCCCCTAACAGGAACAATGTGCTGCTGTTACTCTGTTGTCCATACAGATGTACAAGCGCTGGAGCTCAGAGGGGCTTGCGGGCCACAGAGGTCATGACGCCCCCATGATAGCTTATGATGCCCTTCTGGGGGCAGGGAGTGACTGGGCGGAGCTGTGTAAACGAGCCATGTTCCATGGAGGTGAGGACCTGCAAGACATTTTAAAACACACATGGATAAAACACACTGTCTGCTAATCTATGAAAATGTTCTTTTGTAGGTGAGAGTGAAGCCACAGGCCTGATTGCAGGCTGTTTGTATGGCCTCATGCACGGCCTGAGTCAAGTTCCCCAAGGCCTGTACCAGGATTTGGACAAGAGAGAGCATCTGGAGGAGCTGGGAATGAAGCTGTACAATGCAGCATCTGCAGAGAAGTGCATAGACAAGTAATCCTGCTCTTCACTGGCCTGAACCCTACTGGCTATCAGAGGAACTGCACATGACTGTCAAACTGCTTCCCTTTGCCCCTCACTACCCTCTAGTCCTCTTTGGTTGCATCTCAGTAGTCTTAAGTGGCATCCTCTCCTCTGCTCATGTTTCTTGCCTTCCTCTCCTTGATGTTTCTGCACACAATTGGAAAAATTGAAGCACCTGTCACTGTAGGTGTGAGGCAGGGGAACGTCAAAAGGGAGACCATTTAGGGCATTGAGTTTCAACCTTTTTCTGTCATGAGTGCTTTCCTCAGGAGCTACACCTGCAGTCAGTTTGCATAAATTTCCTGCTCTGTTGGTGGCAGGGAGGAACAACTTGTCTCTATTACTCCACCTAATATTATATGACAGAACTTCGGTTTGACTTTCGACATTTATAACTTCTATTTTAACTGAGAAAACTAGTTAACTTCTCAAATGTAGCAAACAGAAGACAGTTTCCTTCTCTGCCCTTTTCCTTCTCTGAAGCTAACCTGTATTAACATGAAGCACATGCTGATGTTGTGTCATAGAGTATCTAATTGTTCAAACTTTTGATAAGGCCTAACTGATTTTAAGATAAGTCTCCACAGTAAGTTTAAATAGTTTTTAATCTAGATCTATCTTGGCCTTTTAATGCATGTAACATGTGGTGGACATTTTGAATTTTAACTTTTAAAGCATATCATGATTGAGTTGAATAGTAATCATTTTATCTCCTACTGTGATCAGTTATTATTTGCACTGTGATGCTCTTATCAGGTATCAGTGTATTATATTGTAAAACCACCATTACATGGTGACTATTAATATATGAACATTAAAATGGACTCATATATATCACGCATGAAGTGCCTGTCTCTCTTTATCTTAACGACAATATTTATTTGGACGGACAGCTTTTCTGCTCTCTTAATTTTTCCAGATTTCCTCTTCTTGCTACACAACCTTCTCTGCAACCCGCCAAACTAATCGCCTGTAACAAGTTAACTCTGCTGGAACACTTTCAGTCTGAACACTTGATCTCTTCTACTTTGCTGCACGGGTTGGATGACTTCTGGTGTAGCCAGTTCAAGTTAAAGTAATGCTTATTGACTCTGATATCCCTCAGGTAGAAGAATACCAAGTAAAAGAGAGAAATGGTCTTTGGAGAGTAACAGCAGCTAGCTTTATATGGTCACTGTGACAGACCAAATTCACTATGCTCCAAAAACTAATTCCTCTCCAGTTCAGTGATGCTTTTTTCCCCAGGGATAGACTTACATGGGTTAAAAGAGATTTGAACTCAACAGGACAACCCTCCATTTCTGCTGTAACAGGTGTGCAAGTTATCCCCAAATTATTATCCATGATGATGCTATCAGTTTTTTGAAAGAGTATTTCTTTTTTTGTATCACTATAACTTCTTTAAATATAAATGTGCTGTCTATCTACATACTCAGAATAGTACATTAATAGTAAGAAGAAACATATGCAACAGTGCAAGAACATGAAAAAGATACTCCAGAGTTTGGGTACAGATTATGAAATGATATTTAGTTCTCTTGAAGGTCTCAGTGGCAATGACGTTACAAGTGCAGACTGCACATTATCAATTGAAACAAATACTACTGCACATTTTTTACCTCTGGGAAATGCTGTATTCACATATAATACTGACAGTATTAGTAATTAGTGACCATCCATATATATACATATAATGGCATGATCTCCCAACACAGTGTCACAGAAATATGTGAAATGGACACGACCCCTTATTAATGCATTATCTAGTGGTGGGCTTGAAATGTGTTAAAATTATGTGCTGGCAGCACAAAAACAATATCAATGCAAAATCTGTTATGAATGATTGTAGTTTCATAGTGAAACATTTGCAGTTTGGTTAGGTTTAGGGAACAAACTTGGTTGATTTTAGGAAAAGATCGTAGTTTTGGTTAAAAAAAAAAAATACTTACAAGACACTACAGCAGTCTCCTGGTTGAAAATTGATGTTGGTTTGACCCATTGACCTCCCATCCAACCCACCCTATATGGACTGTCTCGCTCTTCACACTTAATTCGTGTGCCCACTATGACTTTGCACGGTCATTGTTTTCATGTTGCCAGCATGTAGTTTTAACATATTTTGTGTCCACTCAGGTTGGGCAATATGGAGAAAATCAAATATCACAATATTTTTGACCATATACCTAGACATCGATATTGCAACAATATTGTAGGAGTGACTATTAGTGCATTCACAAAATATTTGCATGATGAGATTTTTAATAAATAACTACCAGTGATGTGGACATAATGACTGATGGAGTAAAGGTTAATAAAAGAACAGCCTGATAAGTTCAGAAAGTTGCATCACTTTAGTTTGCTGCAGGAAAAACAACACGTGCAACATTATGATATCCAAAATCTTAGACGACATCTAGTCTCATATCACAGTATCAGTATAATATTGATATACTGCCCAGCCCTGGTGCTCGCCACCATGTAACGTGTTGTTAAGAAGTTGTGTCCATTTCACATATTTCTATGAGACAGGGCTGGATCTTCTCACAGTTATACATTCAGTACTGCCACTATTTTTATGCAACAGTAAATCTAATGTTTTGGCAATCATCCTTCAACTCTGCTGTCAATATCCATTACTATTCAGGTATGCCTATCTGCAGATGGCTACAGGGATTAATGTCCTGATTGCATGTCCTCTATTCTCCATAGACCAGATTCTCGGAAAACAACTATCAGCCCTGATGCCAGAAAGCTGAGAAAGTTGGTTAGAGACCGCAACTGCCGCCCGGTGCTGCGAGGGATTCTGGAGATGCTCCTGCATTACCTGACACAGGAGCTGCCCAAGCTGACCGCCAGAAACAGAAAGCCAGAGAAGACAGGGTCGGATATTGTGGTTGAAAGAAACACAGTTTGGCCTGATCAGAGAGTTGAGGCTTCAGTGAAGCAGACTCAGACTCAGACTCAGACAAGTTGTACTATCGTTCAGCTCCCTGCAGAGCATAAAAACACCCAGGGGAAGACTGCTGAGACCAGTTCCAACAAATTGCCAAGCAGGTGTGGAGGAGAACAAAAAGCAGGAGGCTTAATACAGCGGCGTCTTACCACATTCCAGCTTCTCCAGTCCAAATTCATACGGTCCACACCCAAACCTCCCATCACCAACCTAAGGGAGGTAGGAAGTTTGTCCTCCAGCAGAGGAGGGGCAGGTAAACTGAGCCAATGCCAAGACAGTGAGCTTGACATTCACAAGAAGAACCGGACTAGAAAAGAACAAGGACTGAAGACAGGGGGCAGTGTGAAAGATATTGTAGCCAAGTTTGCCGTGGCTGAGCAAAAAGGAAAGGGAGAGAATATGCCGGGGAAACAACCAATCAATCCAAGAGGCATCAAAAGAGGGATTCTCCTGTCGTCCTTGATGGAGAGGTTTGAGTCTGTGGCCACTGTATGTAAGGGAAGTGACTTAAAAAGTTCAAGGTAAAAGCCTTCTGGAGGAGTCAGGTTGAAAAGTAATATAAAACAGAGGGTGGCTTGTCATGAAAGATGGCACCAACAGGCACTGGATGGAACTGTCCACAAACAAAACCAACACAAGCAAACAAAAGGAAAATCTGTTTTACAGAAGTTGGAAGGAAATCAAACTACAAATGGGCATGAACAAAAACCAGAGCAAGCAGTAGACATTTTAACAAAAGTAAACCTGAAAGAAAAACTTAATTTGAAAGGACATCAAATGAGGCAAATGGAGGACCACTACTCAGATCAAAACTCTGAAGGTCACTGCTCATTAAACCATAAAGATCAAGCTTATAATGATGCTGAGAGCAGAAGGTCACAGGAATGTGGTGACATTCAGAGTCCAGTCGAAGAAACTGCTACCACCAACAAGTTAAAATACGGACATCTAGAGCTGTTCTGTTTAACATCTGTCACAGAGAGGTCACTCCCAGAGCCTTACAGGCTTTTTCCACATGTAGAAACCCAAGTGAAGTGGCATGTGGCGACCATCATGACCTGCCCTCCTGTGTGGTCCATGTGTGTAGATTCCTCTCCTAAACTATATTCTGTGGAGCCATCAGAGAGCTCACACTTGGAAGAGATACCTAACTTGACGACAGAAGTTCCTCATAGAGTCCTAGGTGACCCTTCCACCACAGCAGCTGAAGGGAGATGCCCTTTAAAGCCCAAAATTGAGGGACTCTCTACTTATACAGGTCACGACCATGTGGAGAATGGAGCAGTGGGACGTCCATCCATTCAAAGAGGGTTTGCCAAGTACGTCATCCCATGTGTTTACAGATTTAATAATCAACACGATGATGATGATGATTCTTCCCCTCAATCAGCATTTCACCCAGAAACTATTACTCCTTTGGTTCCAACGCCACCACCAGCGCATTCTGATACTTCTATCACAGGATTGGCGACAGCGGGAATTAACCTATGTCCTCCTAATGACATGAAGGTACAAACCCTTCATATTATAAAGCAAGAGGAACCAACAGAGGGTAAACCACATGAGAAAGACGTGAAGGCTGGAGAGGGAAGAGAAGAAATCACACCAAAGGATATAAAGAATGCTAGTGTGCCAGCACCTTACCCAAAAACTACAACACCTTTGGTTCTGGTGCCACCACCACACTCTGATACTGCTTTTAACACTGGATTGGCAACAGTAGGGATTAGCCTATGCCCTTTCAATGACATGAGGGTACAAACCCTTCATATGATAACACAAAAGACACCAACAGAGGGTAAACCGCATGGAAAAGACGGGGAGGCTGGGGAGAGAAGGGAAGAAATGACACCAGTGGATATAAACAATACTAGTGTGCCAGCATCCCACCCAAAAACTGTAACTCCTTTGGTTCCAGTGCCACCACTGCACTCTGCTACGTCTGTGACTGCTTTTAACAATGAATTGGTGACAGTAGGGGATAACCTATGTCATCCTCATGACATGAAGGTACAAACCCTTCATATGATAACTCAAAAGACACCAACAGAGGGTAAACCACATGGAAAAGATGGGGAGGCTGGGGAGGGAAGGGAAAAAATGACACCAGTGGATATAAACAATACTAGTGTGCCAGCATCCCGCCCAAAAACTGTAACTCCTTTGGTTCCAGTGCCACCACTGCACTCTGCTACTTCTGTGACTGCTTTTAACAATGAATTGGTGACAGTAGGGATTAACCTATGTCCTCCCAGTGACATGAAAGAACAAACCCTTCATATGATAACACAAAAGACAACAACAGAGGGTATACAACATGAAAAAGACAATGAGGCTGGGGAGGGAAGAGAAGAAATAACACCAGTGGACATAAACAATACGAGCACTCCTCAAAGTTTCAGACTTCCTGAAGACAGTGTCAGTAACTCTGCATTTGAAGACAGCAAGACGTCTGCTCAAACAGTGTCAAAGAGTCAACCTGAGAGAGGCAATCCAAAACAGAAACCAAAGTACACAACGATCAACTACGGGGATCCCTCAGTCAAACAAACATATAAACCCAAAATCATACGATTCACTGACACCTTCACTTTCTAGGTTGGTGCTATTGAACAGACAGTGATGCACAACCTCAGAAATGTTTCCTTTTACGGATACTGAACAAGGACTTTAAATCACGATTTCAGTCACAACAGATAGCTTATGGGTTTATGTATACTATTGATTTTGTTTCATTTCAGAAAAAAAGAGACTAAAATAAAAGTCAAAAGCAACAACTTGAGAGTTAAATGAAGTTATATAGTTGAACTCTGCATAGAATATGCTCAGGGGTTGAAATATAGGCCTGTTTGAAGCTCATGGAGTAAATATTCACGTAATGACT